ATTGTCTTTTAAATTATCGATTTTTGATTTGTCTGCACGAGAGGGTGACATTCAAAAAATTGTCTCCCGCTGAGCCATGGGATAGAGTAAATTATCTCCCTCGTATTAGCCAATCGAAATCTGGTATTTTAGCGTGAATTATAATAACAATATATATACAACTCTCTCAAATTTATCCCAACAATGTTGGATCTTCAAATTTGCGTTTCAGGAAACAGTGGCAGACATATGTTGGAAATGGTTATTTACCATTAATTTTAAAAGAAGAATTATAAAATGTATCATTTAACCAAAGTGTGAAATCAAATTCTTCATAAAGATTTTGGATCGTTCAATTTTCTGTTTTAGTATGGTAGGCTTTATTTGAAGTCGGGCAGTGTTATCAATCGATATACTAGTAGCTGTAAAGGTAGTTATGAATGTATCACACAATCAAGTTGGGTAGCAAGCAATTAGTCCTTCAAATGATCAATTTTCTGTCTTATTTTCTATTTTTACGGACGTATCAACTCATTATTTTTTATTGAACAGGAAATCATTTATAAAATTATATTAATTGTATACGTGTTCTAACCAATCAAAGAAATGAGCAGTTCCTTTTTATCTTTCACCTTAATACTTTGCATATAAAAATAAGGAGATGTGGTATGATTGCCAATGAAACAACTATCCACCAAAGTTCAAATGAAGTGGATGTAAGCAATTACAGACAACCTTACGGCCTTGAACAATGAGAAAACCCCATACCGTATAGTCGGCTATAAAAGGCTCCGACATGAAAAATATGAAACAATTCAATTGAGACAACTAACGGCTTAATTTATAAGAAAACAATTATTCATTTCACTTTGTCACTAGGAATACACCTAATACTTATCAACGCACTCCAGCTCCCTCCACCAATAAAAACTTGCAACCACGATATAGTCAATAGTGTTAAGCGTGGCGTTAAACCCCAACAATCAATTAATCATATTCATTTCACTTCATAGAACACATTAAAGTTAATCACGCATTCAAGGGTGAAATAACGGTTATAATGTGCAAATGAACGCGAGGACTGTTACGATGAAATATTGATATGAACTATCATAATTTAAGGAGAAATGAACATGGACATGAAATTTAGGTCGTAGTGACAAAGTTGTTATTGAATAACAGACCAAAACACAAAAAAAAACAATATTGACCAATGAACGATGAAAATGAGGTCAAGATCAGATGAACCATGCCATACGGCTGCTAACGGTTAAAGCAATGTATCGTTCTGACGAGTAAAACCCTTTTCATTTTTTTTATATGCATGCTTTTATACCACTGTCTCAGGTTTTTTGGACTCGCAAGACACAAGTAGAGGTGATGGCCGAAATATTTGCCACTGGAAATCAACAGCCAGGGACACGAGATTCTGTTTCCCCAAATCCAACCTTATCCTTTTTATTTAAATCATCTTTTTAATGAGTCCGACTATACGTCACATAATCAACATGGATTTATGCAAAAATAGATATTTCCGCTCAATCGTGTATTCTGAAAACAGGATCAAAAGTGTCCAAGGTTAAAAGGGGGGGGGGGGGGGGGGAGTTAGTTGGTTAACTGCTACATTTTTTATAGGCTCAACTTTTTGCTACTTTGTTTTACAAATCGGGCACTGGTTTTTTCTCAATTGGTCTTCTAGGGGCTTATTATAGTTTACTATACAATATGGATTTTGCTATTTGTTGAAGGCCACACAGCTGCTCATAATTATTCAGTGGTCTCATTGGCATTCCAAATACATTTTGAAAATGGAAACAAAGCCCTATATTTGTTTGATCCCACCAGCGTGCAAATGAAGCAGTATTGTAGCGTTTCAAAGGGGAACAATCCCAAGTCAACTAAATCAAACGACTGGAGGATGAAAATCAGAGGCGGATTTAGGGGGGTGGGTGGGCTAGGAGGCCCGCCCCCACCCCCTTTCTGGGAAAAATTTGGTTGATTATATAGGGAATCACTGAAGCATGACCGGAGCGGGCCCCCACTTATGAAAATTTCTGGATCCGCCACTGAAAATGAAATCTTGTCAAACGATATCAACTTCTTCTAGTTAAGTGTAGGACTCATTTTGAGTATATTCACACTGACGTATACGTGCCATAGCAGTACAGCTCCCCTCTATATATAGTTAAAATCCAATAATTACAAGTTAGATGGTGGAGGTTGCCAGTGCGTGTTTAAACCCATCGAGATTGGCAAACTGGCTGTGGCAGATAGTTCCAAATTCTGATGGCACTCGGGAAGAAGGAATGTTGGTATACTAGGGTTCGACAGTGTGGTTTTGGAGGTATCTGATGTTATGTCCTCAAGTGGGAACACTTGTTGGTATGAGGTATGGTTCTGCTGTTGGAATGTCTACGAGGTGGTTGACTTTTTTGTATAGCAAGATGGTTTTTACTTTGGATCTTCTAGATTGTAGGGTTTCCCCATCCAAGATTGGTGAGCATGGTACTAACACTGCTTGTTGTTGATAGTCATTGGAAACGAATCTGGCCCCTCTACGTTGTATCATTTTAAGTTGGTTGATGTTCCGTTTTATGTGGGGTCCCATGCACTTGTGGCGTACTCTTACAGTTGATCTGACGATGGTGTTAAATGCTCGTTCTTTAGCTTTTGGTGGGTAGTGTCCGATGTTTCTTCTTAGGAAAGCCAGGGTGTTGTTTGCCTTCTTAGTAGCAGCATCAGTGTGAGTGTTCCAAGATAAGTTTTTCGAGATGTTAAGGCCTAAATATTTATGCTGAGTCAATATGAAGATGGGTATGACCATGGATGAGAGTCTTAATTGATTGGGTTCCGCTTCTTAGTGACAGAGATAACTTCGCATTTGTCTGGGATAAACTGCATCTGCCATTTTTGCTCCCAATCAATGAGGCAGTCACGTCTTTTTATAGAAGTGATGCATCGTCAGTAGATCTAATCCTGCGGTACATGAGGTAGTCATCTGCGAAGAGTATTATTTGTGATTTTGCACAATTAGGCATGTTGTTGATGTAGGCGAGAAAAAGAAGAGGCCCAATGCTATATCGTATATATGTCTTCCACATGGAAGATGCATCGGACTTCTGATAATGCCTCAATTCAAAATGAGCAACATTTGGGAAATGTACCTCATCTGAACACGAGACCCTACCACTCGATCTTGAATATTATATTTATATATCACAACTTTCAGATAAACTGCAACTGCAACAAATCCACTTTGATGACCTATCAAAATTAGATACTGGATTCAACTAGATTGGCAGTGTCCCGTACAAATTTAGGTAAATTTATGTGAATGAAGGGAACAGATATTAAAAATACCATACTCGTCGTTGACCTCATTGCCAGACAAATACTAGTCTGCTTATGCTTTTTTACAAGACAAAAATAATTTTAAAAATGTTTGTCATCGCTGTATAGTACATTTTAAATCAAAATGTACCTGGACTATGATCAATTTTGATTCCAACTGTCCCCCTTGTCAGTTATATTAAAATGTATTGACAGTGGTGCCAATGATCTGATGTGAACACTCAAGGCCACCTGAGCTACAACAGTGATTTATGAACAAAATATCAAATTTATCAAAGGATATTGAATATGATATTCCGCCTTTTGTCAGTTTTAACCTAGTTGTATCAGAGGATTTCCATAAAATGAAAAATGGACAACAGCAGACTTTGGTTGGAAAATCATGCCATGGACTAACTGACAGAATACCTAAAACGAAGTGTGGTGGAACATTTATACTAAAAGAAATTTTCAGAGTTACGGATGAAAAGTAAACGCATTAGTGCTATATCTTTATCGCTATTCAATGCAAGTAACATGACAATTATTGGTATACCGGTATCCCTACTATTCAATTGCAAGTAACAAGACCATTACTGGTACATCTATACTGCTATTCAATGCAAGTAACAAGACAACTACTGGTAGTGAAAAGGTGCATTACTAAAATTTCCATTCGATTTAAACTGTCTGCAGTATATGTAGTGATCAGTATTGTTGACAGATACAAGGCCACAGGTTCATTTTAAATAAATGAACTAGTTTTCAGTAACTGCAAGTACTTTTGTGTTTTTTATCGATCTGACGAATTCAGCCCTTTTTAACTGTTTTTTAAAGCTTGTTCTGTTACACCACTATTGCAGGTTAGGGGAGGGTTGGTATGCCCTCAAGCATGTCAACCCTGCCACATTCTGTGTATCCCAAATCAGCAATTGAGTGGTAGATGTTTGTTGCTGTTTATCATATTTGTTTTGAACATAAATCAGGTTGTTGGTTTTCTCCTTTGAGACATTTGGTATTTCAGGGTACAAGATTTGCTCATTGTTGAAGGCCTTCAGTTGCTAAATCTCTACATCATATGGTCTCATTGGCAATCATACCACATCTTCTAAATTTTATATCATTATTTTGTCATGATGGTCTATCGTTTACTATACAGTATGGGTTTTGCTCATTGTGAAAGGCCTACAGCAACCAGATTTTTCATCCACCCTCACCCTTTAGTCCCGGGATTGTAGTCATCCCCTAGGTAATCATACCACATCTTAATTTTATTTCATCATTGGTCTCCCCCCACTAGTTCTATGTAGGAGGATTTTTTTTTTTTTTTTTTTTTAGAAAAAAAGCTTTACATATATATATATATTTTTTTTTAGGCAGGTGACATCTACCAGTACAGATGACTTATGCCATTCACATTTACAGAAATGGTTTGAAGTTTACAAAAAACAATTGATCAACTGGTATGTAATTGTTTGTCAACATCTTGCCAAGATGTCAATTAAATTGCCGTTAATATAAAGCATTACAATGGATACGTTGATGATTTGATGCTGAACATCCAATGGCAAATATTACATGCATATTGGAATGAGAACATAATAAAATATCAGTCATTACAGCAACACTAAATGACTTGACTTATCTATATGTGTTGGTGAATGGAGTTTACAAGAAATGATATACACAAATACATCACAGAATATTTATTCAATTGAAATGTCCCATTTCCATATATTTAAGCCTCTGTTTTTGCTTGAGCATCTTTCTTCAGTGGACCCTGAAAAACAGAAGATATATATTAGAAATACAGATGAACATAGTGTTCATATTTCAAAACCAGAGTATCATCTTGTTGGTATGAGTAAAGTAAAAAAATATACCATTTATTTGTATTAAAAAGGTTGTCTATTAATGTATGTTAAAATAGAATTTATCCTGTATACCAGAAAATTCTTTTTGTGATTTTCTTTGTGCAGCATTTTAATCATGAATTTTTAAAATATTTTTGCGATCCATATTTTTTAGATTGATTTAGTGCAGTACTGAATATAAATTTGAATAGTTAATCTATCAGAAGGAAGGCAACATGGTGAAATCTTCATTAGAATCAGGATATCCTGGCAGGGATATCATCCACGTTGTTCATCATTTAGATTAACAACTTCAAACGAACAAGGCATCTTGAAATAACCGTTTTACCCTTATTTTAAGTCCTTTTTAATAATGATGCCTGAAAGTAAACAAGAAAGCCTACCATAAAATTGTGTTTCTCCTTGAATGTCTGGAAACGTCCATGTCCAAATTTGCTGGCTGTGTCAATAAATTTCAAGTCAATCTTCTCCATTTGCTTCTTTTTAAATGATGCCAAGAGAGACTGCAAACAGAAACAAACACAAAATGTCATTTATATACAATGTGGATTTGTTTATGCTCTCAGATGGTATTAATTTTATTCATGTACAGAATTGATATGCATTACAAGAATCAATCATCAGAAGGAAGGCAACATGGTGAAATCCTCATCAAATTCAGAGTATCCTGGCAGGGATACTTTCCATGTTTTTCATCATAAATTGATTTTCAAGTTTCTATAGGATTACACAACAATTCATGTATCTGTATAGAATCTGAACATTTAAATGAAATGTTATAAAAATAAAAATATCTTGTACACTCCTTACAATATATTTTATTGACATTGACATTAATGACTTTGGTACATGTTGGATCTAAATAAAATATACCTTTCTAAGTGTGACAACTCTCTTCTTAGGTCCGATACAACATCCCTTAATCATAACAAAGTCATTTGCTACTTCTCCATAGTGAGGAAATCCTCCCATTGGAGTGATTGGCTTCTCATCAGCATCATACTCAGTTGAACCATTGTTTGTAATAAGCTTGCCTTCCTTAGTATGGTATCCATCACCAAGACGATAGATCTTTTTGTTGATTTCAGTCCTGTGATGGTAACCCTTTTGTCCAGCTCTGGCCACAGTGAACTGGACACGACTTGGATGCCAGGCTCCAATACAAGCTACTTTACGCAGACCTTTGTGAGTCTTCCTTGGCAACTTCTTGCAGTGCCATCTGGATGTTACACCTATTAACATAAATATAATATATTAACCTAGAGGATAATGATGAGAGTCATCATAGACGGCCTTGCTGGGGTAAACAAATATATAATTTATAATAAGGCAAACAGAATAATGCATGCTTGTAGGTTATCAATATTTCTTGGAATTTATGGTGCAAGCAGATATAAAAGAAGTTGCACATAATTTATGATAAAATTTGTGATTTTTAAACAAAAACAAACTTTATTTCCCAAATTAATGAGCTAAATTTCACCCAAAATATGATATGAACGAAATTTCATTGGCCTCCTACCTATACTTTGGAGTTTTCGGGTTTACAAAATTTTTTGACAGACAGATGGACAAAGTGAAAACTATAGGGCCCTTATTAGTATCATCTAAAAGGTATTCAGTGTTAATTGATAAAAACAAACCTAACGGAAGGCATTCATTTTTTGATGCAACACTAATCCATCCCACAACTTCAAGGGGTTTTAAAGTAAAAGAGAGCTGAAATTTTTTAGTGCATATGCACAGGGACTGCCAAGTTAAACCAAGTTCTTAAATAGGACTTTCAATGTATGGATTTCTTCCTTTTACCAGACACACCTTCTAGAAGTGGGGAAAAACATGTCAAATTCATTTCACAACTCTAAACAGATATGAAAGTTAGAGCTAAAACAATTTTTGTACATGTGCACAGGTGTAAGTTGAACCAAGTTTTTAACTGGTTTTCTTCATTGTATGTGACACATTAAAACTAAGCTATTGTTATACTTGTTCACCACCTTTCTACTGTTTACAATCTTACCTTTTACTCCTTTACCCTTGGTTACACCAATGATATCAATATTTTCATCCTGGGCAAACACATTTTTTACAGGTATGCTCTTCTCAAAATAACTTTTAGCCCAGTCCACTTTCTGGGAGATGGTACCACCGTTAACTTGGATCTCCATAATATGGGCTTTCTTCTGACGTTTCTTCATCAACTTAGTCTGTAATAAAAATGATGGTACATGTATGCATTGATCACCTCATAAACCACTCCTCCAGAAATAGAATGTTATTTTTATTTTGGGTTGACCAATAATTTTTTAAATGCCAGTGTTTAAATTAGACATGTCAAACATATGCCATTTTGATATGTATTTTCACTTTAATTGCAGTTGTGTTGTGTTTGCTTATTTGTAAATTATTTTATTGATCATTCATTTTTGCTGTATTCTCTCCATAATAGTTACAAGAAAATATACAAAAATAGCAGAAACCCTAAAAGGTGCATGTCCTCAATTTGACAAAGATTACAGACTAATTTCAGACATTAACAAAAAAAGGTAAAAGTTCTTATATTGATCAAGTCATGAGTGTTTTCAAATTACAGACGATTTATTTTGGACAAGGTAACAGTTTGCAGTAAGATATGACACAGATCAATCAGTTATTGCAATCTCAAATGCTGCATTTTAGTGGAGCACAAACAAATATCAATTTTCAAGTCTTTGGTTTGACCTGACCTCCTGCACTTAAGAACAGCACGTTACCACTAGATTACTAAGGCATTTCTTTAGACTTGTCTACATTTCGAATAGAAATAATTGCCTTACCTGAGTATGGGCAAGGACTCGGATGACTCTACAGTACTTCTTCATCTTGTTGAAGTCACGCTCTATCTCTTTCTTTCCAGCCTCATCCTGCCATTTCTTGGCAGATTTAGTGAATGCCTTCTTCTTGGATCGGTACCTTAAATAAATATGAACCGTTTCATCATGAAATAATATTCATGAGCGGAAACAGCATTGTAACAAGCTCATTGGTTTATAACCAAGAGGAGCTTCAAGTTGAGCCACTTTCCTAGTGATTGATAATGAGACACTGTCAATCTCTTGGCATCAATCACCTGTAAATATTGAAAAAAAGAAAGTGCACAATACAAATATATTCAAAATCATATATAATCATATGTATATCAATCTTGAACTTTCAATAACCTTCTCGAAAGATGTAAATATTTTATATGCAAATCATCCAGTCTGTCCTACTTGTGTCACAATTTAAACCAGCTCTCTCTGTACAAATATTCCAATTGGAAATTTTCAAAACTACTTTGGCTGTTTTTTCATAATTTCAGCAGGAAGCAACTCCCAAAAAAAGTCTTTCAACTGCACTGGATTTTAAAAAATAAAAATAAAATTATGAGAAATGAAAAACCATAGAGATGGTGACAGATCACCTAAGCGCCATGTTGTCCCATAATAATAATTCTTGTTATGCATTGTTTTTGCAGCTATAAATATACAACTTATAGTTCATACCAATTCTTGTAAAAACGTCTTTTACATTCTTCACTAAGATGTTCAGCAAAGATGGTTTTAAATGCTCGTAATCCACTTGGAGTTTCAATATATCCAACCACACCTACAACCATCATAGGTGGTGCCTCCAGTACAGTTACAGCCTCTACAATCTCCTTCTTGTGAGATTCTAGAAAATAAAATTGAAATGTCTTAGTCTCTGCTGGAAATCATCAAATACATGCTACATTTGGCCTAATAAAATAATATCTGTGTTACCGTTAAAATGTTAGGGTAGGAAGTTGAGTAAAAATTTGATTTCAAGTTGTTGACAGGGGAAAGAGTTTGACTTTAATATTAATAGCGCTTGTTCAAAAATGACCAAAAACTATTCGGGGTAGGCAGGGTTAACAGAGAAGTATTATTTTTGTATGTATTTGATGTATGTCTATATTGTACCTCTTCATTTAGTGAGGACATTCATTTCAATCTCTGTTCACCTTATTCCTAGGAAAATCCTGTTTAGTCAAGATATTTGGCTGAACCTTTAAATGTTTTGTTAACAAGGTGGCTGTGGAACTGAATCATTTAATTTTCAGTCATTTTTATATACATTTGTAGCAATGAAAATATAATTTTTCACAACCAATTATTTAAGAGTTCTCTCCAGAATTCTGTTATAGTGTTGTGGTAAGTTTTTAGATGTACATTACAAATGGCTGCAGACCATGCAATTCATTTTAAAATCCAAGCAATCCTCATTTTAATAGGATTTAAAATGATTTTTTAGCTACTTTCTATTGAGGATTGAACAGCAACCTTGATAGAATATGTTTACATCATTTTGCATTAAGTTTTCCCTTCATTTACAAGTTGTAAACAACTAATAATGTAAGGGCAAGTTCTGATCAATTTTGGGCTTGTGCAGATTGAAGTTTGATTTCCAAAAAAAAATGAAACAGTAATGATTTTGTAGACAGGAGACACACGAACCTGTTGTCAGTGAAAGGTAAATTTAGTTCAAAAGCTTGTGAACAACTTACTGGATATTTGAAATTGTCAGGTAAAATTGTTTAGGTAGGCACCAGAAATTGGAAACTCTAAATCAATTGCAGTGTTACAATTGGATAATGCTGCACACCCCTTCACTTAAAACATCCTGGGAATAACACTTAAAGTTTAGGCCTAAAAAAAAAAAAAATCTGTGTTTCCGGTAACATCATTTTGTTAAATAGGGTCGGTAGGTCGGATTTCTTTTTTTTTGACATTGTATACGAAATCCGGAAAAATATTATGGTTTTTCCACGTCCGTGTCCGTAATTAGTTTCAAATACCGGAAGTGCGGCCTTTGCAATGTTTTTGAAGCACCTGCTGTGCAAATTTCTTGGATTTTAACCTATTTGGAATACCTTTTTGACATAAATAAAATGTTTTACTGGCTTTCTGTGCAGTTAGATAAATAATTATGTTGATTAACAGAAGCCTGTGTCAAAAACAGGGTCGGTTGATACCAATTTTTTTTTTTTTTTTTGAAGATCCAATAAAAAAATTAGGGTCAGGGCTAAAAAAACAGGGTCGGTCGGGTTACCGGAAAACAGATTTTTTTTCTCTCTGCCTTAAGAAATTATACAAGTCCTTACTGCTCTGATAATATTCTTTTATAAGGTGTAATACCACCAAAACATGTTACGTCACATCAGGTTGCATACGAAAAAGGGTTGAAAAAATATTTCCTTGAATTTGACAGTTGAAGGAAAATAATCCTACATTTCATTGCAGTAAAAAATTTCTGAGTCATAAACATATATCTTGGATATTTCAAAGCCCCATTATTTTTTCATTTGGTGTTTCTATACAATATTTTGGAAACTTGAGGTTACATAGTTACTAAAGCTTGTACACGGAAAAAGAGGGTGAAAATTTGATTGGTTAAATTCCAGTGGTGGTTACTTTCTTATATGCAATGAAATGTTATGTGAAATTTTGTCTATAGTACTGGACAGGATAAAACTTTACTCATGCCAAGTATTTCTTTATTTGAAACAAAGATAAATTCTGCACAATTTTTTGAAAAGTGAAAATTTAACAGACTAATAGGGGAAAATCAATGGTGGTAGTACACCTATTACTGTAAATTAAATTTAAAATCAACATACTGGAGCCTGGTCTATCAACTTCTCTGACAATATGGGACATTCCTGCCTTGTATCCAATAAATGCTGTGAGATGAACTGGCTTATTCTTGTCATCATTGGGAAATGCCTTCACTTTTCCACGGTGGCGTTTGGCCCTCTTCTTGGGTAGGAAGCCTTTAGAACCGTGCCGAGGAGCCGAGAATTTTCTATGAGACTGAAAATATAAAAATAAAATATAAGGACTCTTCTTGCAATTTGAATTCAATGTATTATATTCATATATCAAAACCTACATGTAGTTAGAATTTCTCTCTATTATTTGTACTGTTAAACATGTTCAAACTAAACCCAAGTTTTATCAAGTCAAATCACACAATGTCGTGTTTCAAATTCTCAATAGATGAATGAATTGGTGCTCAACATCCAGTGGCAATTATTACATCAGGACTCATATTTTGATATAAACGGAATATGAACCCTGGTTAAGTACTAGACCAACACACTCTGACAGCCAGATTTCAACGTGCCAATTTACAAGGAAAACAGTGCAGGAAGAGCTACATTAACACATCATAACAACTGGGAGCTGATCAGTATTGTGCTTTTAGTCTTAATTTCACATACTAACATGTAGTGGAGAGGCAGCATATACCAATTTTCAAGTCTTAAGTTTGTTCTGACAGATTGAACCCACAACTTGCCACATTAAAGAAGAAATTGGCAGTTGACCAATAGCTAATGTTTTACAAATTTGACTAGGGTCCATTATGGAAAGAGTTCCAACTCTCATAATTTTGTTGTCCATTTCAATTTTCCAAAAAAACTCATTTTCAACAATATGAAGACACAGAAATAAGGAATTTGGAACATTTTTTTACTACCTTGTGAGGAACTGTTAATGGATTGTACTAGCAAAGAAAAACTGTCTTACATGCATGAAAATGTAAAGGATATAATGCACATCCCAAAAACATGTAATGCACTTTAAATCTAATAATCAAGTTATGTCATGTCTAAACTCTACCAGGTGCGAAATTTTGTCTACTTGGTAAATTCAGAGTTGTAACCACTGCCATATTTTAAATTCCTACCGATGACCCTGTAATGAGCGCCAGTATCATGGACTTTCAGCGAATAAAATGTAAACATTGATTAACAAAACACAATAAAATGCTCCGCTGGGCGCAGCTTGATACGACCACAGAGGTCGAACCCTGAACAGTTGGGGCAAGTATGGACACAACATTCAAGCTTGATACAGCACTGAATTTGGATTGTGATTAAATATTTGACACAGCATAGGTTTCTGACACAGAATGAATGTGGTCCAAGAACTTAAAATTTTTTAATTTACCTATTCAAACCATATCATTATTATTTGCTTTTATATATAAATCAGAAATAACCCATTTATAAAATGGAAAATTTTAAAGCAAAAAAAAATCCCTCCCCTAAATTTTTTGAACCCCTTATGATTCATCACCCCCAAACTCAATCCCAGCCTTCCCTTTGTGGTATGGTACTTTGCAGTACAATTTCAGAGAGATCCATACACTTGAACACAAGTTATTGTCTGGAAACTAGAAAAATGCTTGTTTTTAGGCCCCAAATTCCTAAACGTTTATGGCAACTACCCCCAAACTCAAACCCAGCTTTCCTCTTGTGATATGGAACCTTGTAGTACAATTTCATAAAGATCCATACACTTACACACAAGTTATTGTCCTAAAACTAGAAAAATGCTTGTTTTTTTCCACTTTTTTGGCCCCCAATTCCTAAAATTTTGAGGCAATTACCCCCAAAATCAATCCCAGCATTCCCTTTGTGATATGGAACCTTGTGGTACAATATCAGATAGATCCATACACTAATACACAAGTTATGTCTGGAAGTTACAAAAATGCTTATTTTTGGCCCCTAATTCCTTAACTGTTGGTACCATAACCCCCAAAATCAATCCCAACCTTCCTTTTGTGGTATTGAACCTTATGGTAAAATTTCATGGAGATCCATTTACTTAAAACTAAAGTTAGAGTGCGAAAACCAAAGTGTCTTCGGACGACGACGCCGTCATACCAATGGTTTCATGTCGATCAGGCCCCACGTCGATCCGGCCCATATTTAAAGTCGATTCCGGCCCAATAAAAAAATATATTTATAAGGAATAAAAATAAAGATATATATTAATTGTAATTCATAAATGTTTATGAATTTTATTATAACGTAAAAGGTGTACGGTAAAAAAAAAAGGCCTTTGACAAATATTTTCTTTAGATGAGTTTAAAACAACTATGTTGATTATGTTTTCATTACAAGTTTTCAAGATTATTGGGTATAATTATAATAAAAACGTATATAACAGAATTTAGTACAATCAACAGACATCAACATTAATCAGCAGTAATTAGCATTTTCTTTCAATTGACTGTGATCTTACCAAGTCTTTCATCCTGTGTAATAACAAATAGTTACATACACAACGGTACAAGCCGATCCCCAAGCTGATACATACAAACTCCACTTCTACAAGATGGTTCCAGCGCTCATCAAGGAAGCCAAAACTGTTTCGAGGCAAGTGCGTCTGGTAGATGAACAGAGTCTTGCCCGTTGGCAATGCACCAAGTATAAAGTTCCAATGGGAACTATAAAATTCCCATGGGAAAAGTACTTTTTCCGATGGGAACTTCTAATATTCTTATGGGAATTTTTAAAATTTTTACAAATTCCATTTACACTGTTAAAATTTGTCACAAAATCCTCCAAAGTCAATATAGTTTATTCATATTTTATTATGGGGCCGGATCGACGTAGGGACGGATCGACGTGGGCCGGATCGACTTTGGGCCAGATCGACTTGGGGCCGGATCGGTTTGGGGACGGAACGACCGGATACCATACCAATATACGACCAAAAAATTTTCAATTTTTGCGTTCGTATAATAAGGTAGTGCTCTACTTGGAGTTCAGTATTTTTTTTTACACTTTTCTATTAAAGTCTAATAAAGAGGAACATTTATGAAATGATTACTTTATAATAAAATTGAGAATGGAAATGGGGAATGAGTCAAAGAGACAAAACCCGACCAAAGAGCAGAAAACAGTCGAAGGCCATCAATGGTTCCAAGTTCAACACAGCGAGAAAATCCCGCAACCGGAGGCGGGCTTCAGCTGGCCCCTTAACAAAAATGTGTGCTAGTTCAAAACTCCAAAACATATAAATGAACTAAAATTAAAAAATATACAAGACCAACAAAGGCCAGAGGCTCCTGACTTGGGACAGTCGCAAAAATGCATATATGTACCATTGTCAAACATCCGAATTACTGTTTTTTTTTTCATAAATAATGCATTTAAATTAAATTAAAACTAAAAGACATATAATTGATTGCTTATTATTGTAAATTAGTCTATAGAATCATCATTTTTATTGTTGGAAATCAGTGGATTTAAATGGATTGAAAGTCCACGTTACCATCTTCTGAGTTCGGCATGCAAAAAGAAGGAACAAGAATACGGCAACTTCCGGATTCCCATTGACGAGGTACACGTAAGGAAAAATAAATCAAGATACTGACAAAACTTTTCACACAGAATATTTGAATTACATAAATGAAGATAAACAAATCAATTTCAAGAAAATATTAAGTCATAACTGTATCTCCCTTTTCGTAAATAAGCCAAAATATTTTACTTAATTTCTCCTTCAGGCCTTTGGCCTCAACATTACGACAATCAGACACAGGGCAATAGTTTATATCAGAGACAAAAATGAATAAGAATGTTCTACACGATTGTAGCATTTAAACTCAGATTATTTTTCTCCAATTGTTGATATAATTATATGTTCAGTATTTTATATCAAGAGTAATGTCGTAAACAAAAAGGTAAACGGTGAAGGTCATTTATGAAGGATCCCAATTTTGTGGATGAACTGCATTGACGGCGTTGGAAATGGCTAATAATGAGGAAAGGACCCCAAAAGGGGTAGAAAAGGGACTTGTAGCAATGTACAAAGTTCTTGATGGCCCTACATCTTGGGTTAAGGGTAAATGATTTGTCTTCTTTGAACTAGTTTGGACGCATTAAAGTTAACTCGAGCCACAGAAGGTCGGTTTTAACTTTTGTTTTACTTTACTCTTTAGAGGTCCCATCCCATATAGAGCTATACAAAACTAACGCTTTATGCCTTACCCTAAATCTGACCCTAACGCTGATCTCAACATTAGCCCTACCCCCAAAACTTATCTAATTGGAGAGCATGATTCTTATTATCTCCTTTGGGATCTCTGTGTTTCAAGTCTGCATGCTATGCTTATTTGGATTAAAGACGACTACCCCCTGTTGGGTATCGTAGCAGATTATCATATACTATGAAAATTGTTATAATTAATTTTCATGATTTCATATATAACTAATTTTATTCAGTATAAAATCCAGTACAAAAGGATCATCGCTGAAATACATGAAAACATAGAAAAAAAAAATAAAACAAAAGAGACAGCAAATGTGTGACGTATAACAAAAAATAGACAAAACACCCACATCAATATTATGCAATTATTCCCACTGATGAATTTCTAATCATAATACATTTGTCTATATATATAAAAAGAAATCTGTTGAGAACATCAGTCTCTGAACAGTTCATTAAATATCTAAATTTATCAAAATTATCTAAATTACAAAAACATGGTAAAATATTAACAATGTCATCATTAAACTTTTTCCTCTCGTCATTCATAAATAAATTGAAAAGAAGGGGACTCAGTATACACCCTTGTTTTACACCAACATTTGAGAATATGGAATCAGTTAGTCAGGAATCTACCGGTAGTTTAACTGAATATCTAACACATGTAATCATGTCTTTGATTAAATGGAAAACCCTGCCACTAATACCTTGCTCAAAAAGTTAAGAAAAGAGAAAATTCCTCCTTTTTCTAAGGTCAACAAAACACCAATATAGATATTTTTTTTGCCCTAAATATTTTATCCACAATAGATTTTAATGTATAAACATGATCAATTGTTCTGTTAGCTTTTCTAAAGTCTATTTGATTTTTACATAGTATGTTGTTCTCAGTTACAAATAAATCTAATCTGTTGCATAAGATCTTTACAAACAACTTACTTAGACAACTAGATATTGCTATATCTCTGTAGTTACATGTACTTGGATCTCTAACGTCTCCTGTTTTAAAAAGAGGTTTAATCATACTTTCTGTCCAACTACTCAGGCCATTCATTAGGAGGCGGTACCCGGTACTTTTACCCTCCTATGCTACAGATAAGTACCGCCTGAATTCAGAAATTTTTATATAAGATGTTCATTGAATATATTGAAAAGTACCACCTTCAAATAGGAATGTACCGGTCAACATGAAAGATAATGAAACCCCTGACTACTAGGAAATAAAGTTGATTTCAAAATGATATTGATAAGTTTGCAATTACAATTCAACATATTCACACTAGAATGTTTAAGCATCTCATTACTTATACAGTCAAAACCTACACTTGTGTTATTCTTTAAACTTTTTATAGCTTTCAACACTTCCTGCATATTTATATCATAATCAAGTAAAACATTATACCTTGAAGGAAAATCATCCTGTTCATTACAACAATCTACATTTAAGAGTTTATCAAAATAATCATACCATTCATCAGAGGGAATATTGGAACTCTGATCACTGATGTCCTTGTCAGAATATTTAAATTTATTAATAATATCCCAATAAGCCTTAGGATTTTTGTCTTCTAATTCCAGTAAGGAATCAAACATCTTTGCTTTATACTGTCGTTTTTTTTTCCATACTAGTTTTTTGAACTGCTTTTTTAGGTTATAGTAATTCTTCAACTTTTCTTCATTTACAGAACCCTTAGAGAGTGAACGAGAAGATTGGATTAAAGTATGATACATTGATTTGCACTCACTGTCAAACCCTAAACTAGATTTCTTTCGTTTACGTTTTTTAGATTTAAACCTGTTACCCTTGGGAAGATTTAAATGACTTCTTATCTTATTGAGAATGTTGTGAAAAATATCTGTTAAATCCTCAGTGGCTTCATCCACCCTGTTTCTTTGTAATACTCTGTCTTTACCTATGAATAGTTGTACATAAGATTCAACTTCCTTTGATAACATCATGTCTGCATAACATTTTTGAACCGCATTGTTCCATTATAAACCCTTAGGTATTGGTCTCCCAACTTTTTGTTGTACTTGAGAATAATTTAAAGATAGACATACATTTATAGGACAGTGATCAGAGTGGACGGTAAAATCCTTTACAGTAAAAAAACATACATTTTTAGCATATTATTACTAACAATACAATAATCAACAACAGCACTACCATTATATTGATGGGAAGTGGGTTTGCCTTATGTATCACCTAAAGTTTGCCCATTTAGAATTCTGCTTCTAGATGATATGCAAAGCTCTAATAGGCGTTTTCCGTAATCATCAGTCTTAGTATTCTTTTTAGTACAATGTCTCCTATAATGTACATTATCTGCCAAATATGAATTAGGAAGTATATCTTGTAAACTTTTGATATGATCACATTAAAAATATTTCCAAATCATTTTTTATACGACCGCAAAAAAATTTGTGGTCGTATATTGATATGACGTTGGCGGCGTCGTCGTCGTCGTCCGAAGAAACATTGGTTTTCGCACTCTAACTTTAGTTTAAGTGAATGGATCTCTATGAAATTTTACCATAAGGTTCAATACCACAAAAGGAAGGTTGGGATTGATTTTGGGGGTTATGGTACCAACAGTTAAGGAATTAGGGGCCAAAAATAAGCATTTTCTAGTTTCCAGACAATAACTTGTGGAATAGTGTATGGATCTCTCTGAAATTATACCACAAGTTTCCATACCACAAAGGGATGGTTAGGATTTGCTTTGGGGGGTTATGGCTCAAACTGTTTAGGAATTAGGGGCAAAAAAGGGGAAAAACAAGGTTGTCCTGGTTAATGGACAAATACTTTAGTACAAAACATAATTTAAAGCAGTGTAAGGGAGATAAATCAAATACAATATTTGAATAACCTCCCTTACACTGCTTTTAAATTATGTATAAAGTAATGGTTAATGAACAATTAAGACAATTTAAAACAGTGTAAGGGAGGTAATCCAAATACAACGTTTTGATTACTTCCCTTACACTGCTTTTAAATTATGTTTAAAGAAATGCATATTTATAAAGGAAGACCAGTAAAAATATCTGCAAATGTTGCATCTTTTTTTTTTTACTAAAAAATCCATATGAAAGATTTGACACCATATTTTAAATTCTATTATAAGATAGATTAAGTTAGCATTATGGTAAAAAGAAATTGTGGGGGGGTCATTTTTTTCTCATTTCAGATTTCAGAAATTAAAATGAATTATTCTTCAAATTTTTTTTTTTTTCAAATTTCAAATATTGAAAAATTTCAAGAAGTAATCTTTAATTGCACAGTATGGTGCATTAGATTTGTAAAATCTTTGACCACATTTATTTATTTGTTATGAAGAATCTAACCGTGTATTTAGATTTTTAATTTTGGGTCCAGTTTTCAAATTGGTCTACATTAAGGTCCAAAGGGTCCAAAATAAACTTAGTTTGATTTTAACAAAAATTGAATATATGGGGTTCTTTGATATGCTGAATCTAACCATGTATTTAGATTTTTTATTTGTGGGCCCCACTATCAAATTGGTACATATTGAGGTCAAAAGGGTCCAAAATTAAACTTTGTTTGATTTCATCAAAAATTGAATTCTTGGGGGTTCTTTGATATGCAAAATCTAACCATGTATTTAGATTTTTAATTTTGGGTCCCGTTTTTTAAATTAAGGTCCAAAGGGTCCAAAATTAAACTTGGTTTTATTTTAACAAAAATTGAATTCTTGGGGTTCTGTGATAAGCTGAATCTAAACATGTGTTTAGATTTTTGATTATGGGCCCAGTTTTCAAGTTGGTCCAAGTTGGGGTCCAAAATTAAACTTTGTTTGATTTCAACAAAAATTGAATATATGGGGTTCTTTGATATGCTGAATCTAACCATGTATTTTGATTTTTGGGCCCCGTTATCAAATTGGTCCACATTGAGGTCAAAAGGGTCCAAAATTAAACTTTGTTTGATTTCATCAAAAATTGAATTCTTTGGATTCTTTGATGAGCTGAATCTAACCATGTATTTAGATTTTGGATATTGGACCATAATAGGTAAATTAAAATTTTTTAAGTTCTTAGACCACATTCATTCTGTGTCAGAAACCTATGCTGTGTCAAATATTTAATCACAATCCAAATTCAGAGCTGTATCAAGCTTGAATGTTGTGTCCATACTTGCCCCAACTTTTCAGGGTTTGACCTCTGCGTATCAAGCTTCGCCCAGCGGAGTATTTTATTGTAGTTTCCGGACAATAATTTGTGTATAAGTGTATGGATCTCTCTGAAATTGTACCACAAGGTTCCATATCACACAGGGAAGGCTGGGATTGAGTTTGGGGTTAATTGCCCCAAACGTTCAGGAATTAGGGGCAAAAAGGGGCAAATAACAAGCATTTTTCTAGTTTCCAGACAATAACTTGTGTTTAGGTGTATGGATCTCTCTAAAATTGTACTACAAGGTTCCATACCATAAAGAGAAGGCTGGGATTGAGTTTGGGGGTAATTACTCCAAAAGGGGGGGTGGGGGGTTTAAAAAGTTGGGGGGATTTTTTTTCCAATTTTTTGGGGGGGGTTCATTTTTTTTCAAATTTTTCAAATCTTCAATTTCACAGTATTGCTTTATAGCAAGAAATCTTCAATTGCACAGTATTGTGCAATAGCACAGTAATTGACAATAGCACAGTATTGGGCAAAAGCAAGTAATCTTCAATTGCACAGTATTGCGCAATAGCAAGAAATCTTCAACTGCACAGTATTGCGCAATAGAAAGAAATTTTCAATTGCACAGTATTGCGCAATAGCAAAAAATCTTCAATTGCACAGTATTTCGCAACAACACAGTATTGCGCAATAGCAATAGAGGAAATCGTCAGATCTACTCACAAGTCACATTTTGCTGATAAAGGTGGTAGGCTGTCACTCTTTATAGGAGTGATTGCCCAGCCCCTTAAATAAGGATTTTTGTTACCCTCTTTTGTGTTTTGAGCAAAAACTAAAGAAGATGGAGAGAAACTAAACAGACTAAATGATCAGGAATACAAGATCAACAAAACAGAGATTTTTCTTATGAATTCTATTCTTGTCTTCAATGTTGGAGAGTTTCCTTTGTTGAATATGCACATAGACCAAAGTGAGCAACACAGGCTCTTTAGAGCCTGTAGTTATACATAGGGTACACACAATAACGACAGATGTAAAAATAGGTCATTGAAGGTCAATCATGTGTATCAATGTAAATAATTGGCCCTACCCCTCAGTCTGAGTCATGGTCTATTGACTTTGAAACTTTTGCATGTTTTATTTTGAATAGGTATTTGGACTCTCTAAGACTTTTTTATACATGTACTTACTAATTTGTAAAGACTGATAAGAAAAAATAACCTAAACTCTTTTATACAGGGACTGGGTATATTGGTCTTGGGACTAGAATATGGCAAAAAACTCTGTTTTTTCTGCTTGTAGTTGGATAAGTTCTGACTCTTGTATTGTATGTTTGCTGTAATGGTAAAGTAATAGTTGTGTGGTGAAGGCTAGTCTAAGCAGAAGGAAAATAAAACTTTATAAATTTAGTTTGTCCAGAGCATGTGCATATAAACTCTTGAAAGTTGAAAGCCACAGATGTAAAAATACTTAAATACTTAAACAGCTACAAAATATAGTACTTTAAAGAGATTCTATATCATTGCAGAAACATTTGTACAGCCATTCCAGAAAAAATACCCATACTATCACAGAAGATTTAACCGAGTACCAACAATTGATCAATGTGATGTAAATGAAGCAGCATGTATATATGAAGCACAGGAACAGTGGAAAAGAGACAAGTAAGTTCAGCTTCTGATAGAAGATAGAACAGCATCAACTGGTTAATGCTTTTGTTAATTATGACCATTATTTGAGAGTTTGAGACTGTATTGTTTCTTAATATTTTTTTGCTGGTACTCATGTTTTTTTTTTAGCTATTTTACTGTTATTAAAGAATTAAGTACTTTTCCAGTACTAACTTTTATTGTACAGTCCACTTTTGTTAACTAAAAGTTTATCAGACTGACTTTGAGTGATGAAAACAATTTGAAATTAAAAGAATTTTGAGATGTAAGGAGTAAATGTAAGGTTGTCACTGAATAGAAGTTCCTTCATAACATAAGTTCCAAACGGAAACAATATTCTGGAATATTATTTCCACTGGAATAAATATTACAGTAAATGTTCCCAAACGGAATAAATGGTATAGAATATTTGTTCCAACAGGAACAGATATTATGACATTGTTTATAACAAAGTTTCCAGTGGAACTTCTGTTAGGCGGAACAAATATACGTTGACAAGGTAAATCTATATATATTGGGAGAGACAGACCTTTGACTTTGAGAGAACAGCAAGTTTGAGATGAGTTAGAGACAATGGGAGTCAACTGTATGTTCTATGTACCTTTTGTAAGTCCATTGATTGAGATTAAAAAAGGGGTAGGGATGAGATCTCAGAGACTTATGACTTGCCATAAGTTTTCCATTTGTATGGGCAAAGAAATATTACTGGTACACACATTGTATATCAAAAGTTTCTAAACTATGATGTAAAAAAAATAATATGTTAATTTTTTTAGCAAGATAACATTTTATAATCAATATGCAATTTGTTTGTCTAGAACATCTTGTTTTCAGTTTATTAAAGTACTAGTCATTATATATTCATTTCAAGTTACAATTTCAAAGGTACAATTTGAGTTATTAATAAGTTGACCTTTTCATATTTTTAGAATGGTGGACAGTAAAATTGTAAGAATATTGAAAGATCGGTATATAGATTGTAATTACTATGAGGGAGAAGATGCACCTGTAAAGTGTGCATCCATAGCAGCAGTGAGTGAAGAGGCAGCCACAAACTGGTTTATAAAATGTACGTATTCTTACATTGTTCTTTCTCTGCTCGTAATTATCTGTCTTCACAAAAATACTTTTTGACTTGCAGGCAATGAAAAAATCAGTCTTTCATAAGATTTCTTTATATTTATATGGCTTGTGAGGCATCTTTTCAGAAAATTTTACTGGCCATTCAACATTTTGCTGGCCTGGGTTGTAAGGTTTATGGTTAATTGTGAAAACTGCATTATTGTCATTTGCATTGTTAAACTAAACTGAGCCTGTTTATTGGTTAGTATTACCAAAATTTATGCTATTTATACAAATTTATTATTTAGTACATGATATATTGAGGATAAAACTAAGGTAGGGACTATAAGATATTTTATGACAACTACTTTGAAGACAATAATTTCAGTATTAATTTGTTCCTTACCATCAACTTCTTATATGCCAACTCTTTTAACAAACTGTTTTTAAAATCCTTATGGTGGAGTAATAAACATTGAAATTAACCTTTCCTTGAATAAGTCTTAGGTTTTAGTTAACTTTTTGAGAAAATATGTTCCAATTTTAAAATAAAGGTACTTTGACATAAAAAGAAAACTAAAAAAGATAAAAAGTTTTGTACTTTTAGGTTATAGGTTTAAAATTTTAAAACTCTCTGCACATTTGGAATTCATTGCAAGAACCTTGAAGGGGTTCAAAGATGGCCTGTCGAGTCTTTTGTAAGGCAAAACTTTGGTTCAAATCCAACATGCCCTCATTTTCAAGTGTCTGTCCATATTTTCTGCCTTCATCTTAGTCAATCCACCTTGCAGAGTCTACCTATTAAACTTATTGTTAATTTGTTCTGGTCCTGAATATGCATTGGATTTTTGCCAGTAGATTAATTGAATGATAGTTGAATTGTAAACAACAATCAATCAATCAATCAATCTAGTGTCAAATATTTGCCACTAGCAAAGATCAAGCAAAATATTTTTTTCTCTTAAACATATTAAAAAAATTTCTGGTATCTTGTCATGTTTTTTCAATATCAAGAAATGTTTTAAAAAAAAATGTATATTCAGTGTCATGAGTTTGTTAAGTGAGTTATGATTTAAAACAAATAATCTATTATAATTTAGTGTTGTCTTGCACATCAAATCAATTGAATGAAAAATGAAAATAACTTCAACTGGATAAATTGAATCTTTGGCAGTGATTAGATATTATAAAATATTATCAAAATAGAAGGTCAAAATGAACATATTTTATACAGTCAAGACATCAAATAAGGACATAGTAATTTCAGTCCTCATATTTACTGTACTTCTATACCTCTTCATTTATTACAGATGTTCTACAATTATGTCTAAGAATACTACACTACCAAACTGTGGGTAGCCCCCTGCCCAAAACTGGTGTATTGTCACTTGCACATCTTTTTTTTTTTGCAGTCAAATTTCTGGCAAAAAAACCTTTTAAATGTACAAGGTTTTTAGCCATTTTCTGGTAGTATCTGGTTGTACAAGGTATTTCTTGTAAGAAATAAGTTATCCATGAGGCAAGAATACACTTTTTGAAAGACTGTGAATAATACAGACATTATACAACATCAGTTGATTTATATTTGCATGTTTTTTTTAAGCATTACTTATTTATCCTTTGTAGATGGTGATTTAGGATATAATTCTACAGTTGTTGAAGCTTACATGAAACAAAAGCATAGAATGATCTGGGAACGACGAAAGTCAGCTGAAGCTGTGTAGATTGCTCTGACAGTTTCATATGAATCTTTAATAAAACATTAGTGAAAGAATGATATTTGTTTGAAATAGTGTATTGTGATGGCAAATAAATTTATATTTGTGGAAACTTTGTCTCATTTTATTGTTAAGCAAGGCTTAGTTTGTTGGTTTTAGGATCTGCCAACCTGATTTTTTCAAATTTTTAGAAAAGGAAAAAACTTGTATATTCCTGCTTTTTAGATCTCACCAGCCCTAGAAAAAAATTATCCCTAAAATGTAAATGAAATATATTTGCAGAAAATATTTCACCTTGACCACTGTGCTTGTGTTCTAAAATAATAAATCTAAAAAAAGCCAATAGCAGCAGATAAGGAAATGCACTTTAAGCAAATAATTTTATGGAATGAAAAGTAAAGCACTCAGTATAAGTAAATAAGAAAAATGTCAATCAGTGAAAATTAAAAAAATCTGTTTTCAAATTTGCTGCATATTTTGTTGCTGAACAAGCTTGATCCTTTATAAACTTTGTAGAGGAAACATAAATTGGAAACTCAAATGCATGAATTGGATCAAAATGAATCCAACGATTCAAACAAAAATGTGTCAGTGTTAAACTAGTTTTTACCACACCTGGGCTAATAAGGCCATATGAGCTCATTGTAAACTTTTTCAAAAATCTTTTCCTCTAAAACTGCAAAACCAATTTGAACCAAACTTGGACTGAATGATCCTTAGATCCTTAGAGTATCTAGTATAAAGTTTTTGTTTTTTATTCATGTCTGTCAAGAATTATGGCAGCCATGGCTTAAAAAGAACAACAGAGTAAAATGCTTTTATTGTCCTATGTCTTATATCTTGAAAACTATAAAAGAAAAAATCAGGGGCAAATTTGTTTAGAATGTCAAGATCTACATTCCTCCTGTTTGCATCAAAATTATCAGAATACTTCTTAAGGAGTTATTGCCCTTAAATGACAATTTTTGGCTAATTGTCATGTTTTTGCCTATTAACTCAAAAACTCTATTAGTTAGGTAGAAACTTTTATTTGCGAAAGAAATTAAACCATTCCCAAGAATCAGTTAGTGTTTACATAGTCATATAAATTTTTGCAAAAGAAACTGTTCCATTGAATAAATACAATGAATATTGTTTCTGTGGAGATCATTCAATTGGAACCTTGAATTTCTCCCTATTAACCAATTGGAGATTGATAAAATTTGTCCTACAAATAATAGATATTGTAAATATTACAATACTTTCATTGTACAATGGGGGCTAACTATGCATCACTTATTGCAGACCTGTTTCTGTATTGTTATGAATCACAATTTATGTTTAAAATTAGCCACAATCAATCAAAAAAACATCGGATAAACAAATTTAATTACCTTTTTTTTTTTTTAGATATTTGGAGGATATTTTTGGCTCTCAATAATGACAACTTTAGTATGTACACTCAATATATATGTTCCTGGTACACTAAAGATATTTATCCTATTGAACTTACTTTAAATAAAGCTAATACTAACAATGATCACTACTTTAAATAAAGCTAAGACTAACAATGATCGCTATTTTAAATAAAGCTAATACTAACAATGATCACTACTTTAAATAAAGCTAAGACTAACAATGATCACTACTTTAAATAAAGCTAAGACTAACAATAATCACTACTTTAAATAAAGCTAAGACTAACAATGATCACTACTTTAAATAAAGCTAGGACTAACAATGATCACTACTTTAAATAAAGCCAAGACTAACAATGATCACTACTTTTAATAAAGCTAAGACTAACAATAATCATTACTTTAAATAAAGCTAAGACTAACAATGATCACTACTTTAAATAAAGCTAATACTAACAATGATCACTGCCCTTTCATTTCTAATGAGAAACTTAATACTAAAATTTAGGATAAAAGAGATCATTCTTCATTTTCTATTGTTAATTATTCGTTTTTAGATGTGACGTTCCCTTGGCACCATCATAAGGTGTTTATTTATCTCAACATGTTTGATTTGGTTGTGTATGTAACAACGTATTTGATTTTAACAAAAGAAATCTCACCATTTCTGAAAAATATTTACACCAGGGTTTTCAATATCACAAACTTGACAAATTTTACTTAATTTTATTTCAAAACAAGGACATCATTCATAAATATGAATCAATGTGTAGACGTCTTATACATTCATGCATGTCACATCCCATCTTTTATGGCAATATTCTATACAAATCATAAAAATGTCGTCATTCACCTCAAAAGATAACCAAACCTTTAAACAGGCTTATTCTTAAGGGATATAGTTATGATGTCAAGTCATTAAAGATGGCATTTTTAAAAATTAATATTGATAAGAATTGATTGATTGATTATTTGGTGTTTAACACCACTTTCAGCACTATTGTGCTATTTCGTGGCGATCAGAATTAAATTTTTGGAGGAAGCTGGAGCGCCTGTAGAGAACCACCTACCTTTGAACTCACAATTTCAGTGTTGGCAGGCTAGTGATACAGTGTAGTTTGACTACCTAGACCACTCACTCACCGAGGCCCCCACTCATGAGGTCTTTGCATCCGAAATAAACACATTTATTCTAAAACCAGTTGTTGGCATGATACGGGTTATGTTTTTCTTGTATAATTTATGATGGCATGATACTAAACCCCTAACGGGAGGGATTGTGGTTGATTTTCATATGATGAAGACATAACCTTTCGATCAGTTTAATTGAGGTCTGAAGCTGGCATGTCAGTAACTGCTAGTAGTCCTTTGTTAATTTATGTTGATCTTTGTCATTTGCTTATTTTCTTTTATTACTTATTCTAACATCAGACTCCGACTTCTTATGAACTGAGTTTTGCTGTGTGTTTGTTTATTCCACTTTGGCTAGAGTCAGGAACCTCTAGCCTTTGTTAGTCTTGTGTGTTTTTTAAATTTTGGATCCATTTGTATGTTTCGAAGTTTTGTGTGGGTGCGGAATTTTCTCGCTGTGTTGAAGACCCATTGGTGGCCTTGGACTGTTTTTACTCTTTGGTTGGGTTGTCTCTTTGACACATTCCCTGTTTCCATTCTCTATTCTACAATATGTATTGTAAAAAACTTAGCCTTTTACTAAGTGGGCAATTAAATTCACAAGTTGAGGAAGGGTGCACAATATTGCCAAAAGATGAAACAACAAACAGCAAAAAAAAAAAGTGAATATTTAGCATCAGTAAGCCCTTCAAAGGGTAACTTAAAGGTGTTTGAGAAGGGTAAGCAATTTCTGCTACACTATTGGAACACATTTTATTGCTTCACTCAAAGATAAATATACCCCACTGTAAAAGTGGGGCTATATTGCAATCACATTGTCTGACAAATATCTTGGTCACACTTTTCTCAAACTACAACACAGAATTACTTCATATTTGGTCACAGCTCAACATTGATGATTGAGTACTTTTCAAATCTTTTGAATAACTGCTTTCTGTTACCCAATACTTTGGATTTTTCATCATATTTTTCTCAGAAACTTTTCAACAGAATGACTTCATATTTTTGTCACCAGCTCAATAGTGATGAGCTTTTTCGGATCTGCCAGATAATTACTTCCTGTCTTTCGACACTTTAAATATGAGAAGTGGTTATATAATGCTTAGCACAACAATGTATGCATTCTTGTTAAACCTTAATCCAATGGGAATTACTTTTGTACTTTTAATTCCATTTAATGATTTGTTGACAGCTCAAATGGAAAATTGATTAAGGTATTGATGATGTTTCATCTTTAATGGATAAAACTATTTTCAAATTGATGATTTTTAGAAACTTTAATGTAAAAAATTACTGTAACAATATAATTTAATTCGATATTTGCTTTAGAATTTCCTTTGGTTCCATAAACTTAATACTGCTGATCCTGTGTACTGTAAACTTTATTTTGGTCAATACAATTGTTTATTTTGAGGATCCAGGGTACTGTTAACTTTATATTGGTCAAAACAATTGTTTATTTTGAGGATCCAGTGTACTGTTAACTTTATTTTGGTCAATATATTGGTTTATTTTGAGGATCCAGTGTACTGTTAGCTTTATATTGGTCAGTACAATTGTTTATTTTGAGGATCCAGTGTACTGTTAACTTTATATTGGTCAATACAATTGTTTATTTTGAGGATCCAGTGTACTGTAAACTTTATATTGGTCGATACATTTGTTTATTTTGAGGATCCAGTGTACTGTAAACTTGATATTGGTCTATACATTTGTTTATTTTGAGGATCCAGTGTACTGTTAACTTGATATTGGTCTATACAATTGTTTATTTTGAGGATCCAGTGTACTGTTAACTTGATATTGGTCTATACAATTGTTTATTTTGAGGATCCAGTGTACTGTTAACTTTATATTGGTCAATACAATTGTTTATTTTGAGGATCCAGTGTACTGTTAACTTTATATTGGTCAATACAATTGTTTATTTTGAGGATCCAGTGTACTGTTAACTTTATATTGGTCAATACAATTGTTTATTTTGAGGATCCAGTGTACTGTTAACTTGATATTGGTCTATACAATTGTTTATTTTGTCCCATGTGTTTGTAGTACATTTAGCACTTACATATTTTGTTTCAGATATTTTGGCTTTTTATGTTTTTTTTTGCAAGTTGGTATCCCTTAATTCTTTGCCCATGATGTTGTCTTAAGGGATGCCACATGTGGAGCACTTAAGTCATAATCAGTTTTAGGTGGGGTACATTTTGCTTAATCAGTCTTTAGTTTTCTATGTAGTGTTTGTAGACTGAATCTTTTTTTTTGCCATGGTTTTGTTGGTTTCTCTTTGACTTGTGTACTTAGTCATTTTTCAGCAAAATTTATGAAAGAGGGTACAAGTTTTGTGTAAACAACAACTCCTATAGTTTTCAACCATGATCCCTGAAATTGCACAGGAAGATTGCAAATATGTTGTAGTTGTGAATCTGTTATTATGGAATTGTTTGAGCAATTTTTTCTCCTTTTTTCAGACTTGGGAACTTGGTCATTTTTCTGCAAAATTATGATAGAGGGTACAAGTTTTGTGTAAACAACAACTCATACAGTTTTCAACCATGATCCCTGAAACTTCACAAGAAAACTG